TGTAAAGTTGTTTGTTTGCTAAAAAAAAAATAAAAATGGACTAGATCAAAATGGCTCAATTAAATTCTAGTGCTTCTTCTATTAGTAAAGTTTCTAGAAAAAAAATATATCAAACGACGCAATGCACCTTGGGTCGCTACGGAAACAACCTCCTTGTATAATTACAAAGGTAAGGTCTGCGTACAACTGACCCCCAGAGCTCAACTAGTTGGGAGTATACTGGGTATGTTGTTTAAAGTTGTTTGTTTGCTTAGACGCTGGATTGGCGGCGAATGAGAATAGAAGAGTGACACTTCATATTTGCTCGTGTCAAATTGTTGACTGCATATTAGTTAGAAGCTAGAATCTGTTCTGCAAAAAATAGCATGTAATTTTTTATCTGACTTTCGACTTCGATTTTGAACTGAGTTGTTTATAGGTCCTCTAGGAGCACTTGGTGAAAGGTCAATTTGATGAGCTAGTGTTGTCTTTGAAACCCAACTGCATTTAAGACATTTAAGAACCTGGATGAGGTTGAATGTGTATTAATGTTGCCTTTGTTGTGCAGAGTGTCAATGAGGAAATTTCAAATTCATCACACAATGGTGTTGGCTATTCAATTTATTAACTGGCAGTACTTGGACTTGTGAATCTCACTGCTTGCGCTAAGGTTTCACATTTTAGTTTTTCAGGTTTTAGAGAAGTTATACCGAGCTAGATGGGGGCCAGAGGATGGGGTTGGATGCATTATAATGTCCCCAACGAGGGAGTTAGCTGGTCAGCTTTTTGAAGTTTTGAATTCCGTGGGCAGACATCATGGCTTTAGTGCTGGCCTTTTGATTGGTGGTCGCAAAGATGTTGACTTGGAAAAAGAACGTGTTAATGAGTTGAATATTTTGGTGTGTACTCCCGGACGGCTACTTCAGCACATGGATGAGACTCCAAATTTCGATTGTTCACAACTGCAGGTCTTCTTATGACCTCTCTTTCTCTCTTCCTCCTTCTCTCTCCCTGCTGTTTGCAGGGTCAGACCTACCTCCCTAGTTCTTATTTATTTAATACCTCTGTGTATGTATGTATATTAATTGAAGAAAACCTAGGGAAAAAAATAAGATGGGACACTCATGTATAATGTTCAAATACTTTGAAAGACAGATCCAAGTGAATGCATGTTTAGCCCTTTGGATTGTTCCTTTTCTGAAATTGGAAATTAGAAAGATTGTTTTGAAGATATTAGAAAGTGAAAGATTGTTTCCTTTTTTAAAGTGAATTTTTGATTGTTAAATTATACGAGTTAGTAGTGAATATTGGATGTATGCTGTTAATGTGGGAGTTGGGCATATGACCATTGCGAGAATTCTTCGGTGACTTGACAAGTAGGTAATAACTGAAACCGTATTTTCCAAAAACTTTTATGAATTGGGCATATGACTTGATATGGGAAATGATGAGAGAATTTTGGAGGTGAATAACCTTAATGAACTTTCTATGAAACTTTTTGAAACAAAGAAGCTTGAAAACCATTTAAAAGTATGTACTTGCTGTTGGAATTAGTGTTTATTCTCCCTGTCACAATAACGAGTGTAAAAAGAGCATTTTCCATAGTGGCATATGTAAAATTATAAAACATGTCGCGTAATAGTATGGGAGGTTAATTGCGGAATGATTTTTTGGCTACTTATCAACATCAACATACCCAATATATTCCCAACAGGTTGGGGTCTGGGGGGTCAGTTGTACGCAGACCTTACCCTTGTAATTATACAAGGAGGCTGTTTCCATAGCGACCCAAGATGCAATGCGTCGTTTGATATATTTTTTTCTAGAAACTTCACTAATAGAAGAATTACTAGAATTTAATTGAGCCATTTTGATCTAGTCCATTATTAGCACTATGCCAGGAGAATTGTCAACAATGACTCTTCCAGCTCCATATGCAATATGCAATGTACATAATTTTTTGGCTACTTATCTAAAGGAATATTTGTTATTTGTTTTCAAGTTTTAGTATAATTGCGTGTAACTACTCTTATAAGGTAGTGTGGCTGAGTTGGTTTTTCCTGGTCTGGGAACAGGTGCTGGTTCTTGACGAGGCGGATCGTATTCTTGATGTGGGATTTAAGAAAGAACTAAATGCAATAATCTCCCAACTACCAAAGCAAAGACAAACCTTACTATTCTCCGCTACCCAAACAAAGTCGGTTCAAGATCTTGCAAGACTCAGTCTCAAAGACCCAGAGTACATCAGCGTGCATGAGAAGTCTGAAACTGCTACTCCAAACCGTTTGGAGCAAACGGCTATGATTCTTGATCTTGAGAAGAAATTAGACATGCTGTGGAGTTTTCTAAAAGCACATCTTAGTTCAAGAATACTGGTGTTTCTTTCAAGCTGCAAGCAGGTAACATTTTTTCTTACTTTTCCATTTCAGCTGCTAATAGGTTTGCTTGAGTTACACCATTAGTATTTTCCTGTTATCCGATGTGTGTAATACCTTTGCTGCTTTTATGTTTTTTCTCGTAAAAAGGCACATCAAAGGCTATTTTCTGCATAATTTTTGCTGTTGTTGTTACCTGTTGTCCAATGGATTGTGATAAGGGCTTATGTCTTTGTTACTTTCGCTGTTATTTTGTTACTGACAGTGGTTGGTTATTCCTTTGATGTTGTCTGTAATTAATAGTCTGGGTGAATTCTTGTAATGTCTTTTATTGACGTCCAATTTTAGAAAAATAAAGTGTATCCTCATTACTTAATTTGTGTGTGTGGCATGTTTTATTGAGTTGCCTACAGTTTGAGGTCTGTTCTTATGTTGAACATAAGATTCCCAAAGCAAGCTTTTCTTCAACAGCTTTTGGTGTTTTCTGTAGGTAAAATTTGTATTTGAGGCTTTCAAGAAACTTCGTCCTGGAATACCATTGAAATGCCTCCATGGAAGGATGAAGCAAGAGAGGCGTATGGGGATATATGAGCAATTTTGCGAGTCACGATCTGTTCTCTTTTCAACTGATGTTGCAGCCAGAGGCCTTGATTTCAACAAGGCCGTTGATTGGGTTGTCCAGGTTGGTATCATTTTTTTTTTTCTTACATGAAATTTGAATTAATAGGAAAATTACAAAAACTGTTATTTAGGTTTGTCCATCTATAAATAGAAACAATGGAAAACACCTCCTCACTTACAGAATTTATGATATCCCTTGATATTACATTTACCTTGTATATTTTTCATAGTTGAAAGCATGCGATCAGAATCATGAACTTATTTTAATTTCAAGGTTGATTGCCCGGAAGATGTTGCTTCTTACATACATAGAGTGGGGCGAACTGCACGGTACCTTTCTGGTGGGAGATCAATCCTATTCCTGACACCGTCAGAGTCAAAGATGCTCGACAAATTACAAGAAAAGAAGATACCTATCCGAATTATTAGGGTATGTCACCTTTTTCCACAATTGATTACGTTTCAGTAGTTACCTTTAGCGAACAAAGCAACTGTGAGCTGTTCTGGATATACATGATCAAAAAGTTTTTTATCCTTGCTCTTGTATTGATTCTTTGCAGGCAAATGCCAAAAGGTTGCAACCTGTTACTGATTTGTTGCGGGCTTTGTTAGTTAAGTATCCGGATTTGAAGTATTTGGCCCAGAGGGCCTTCATTACTTACTTGAGGTCCATCCACAAACAGCGTGATAAGGAGATTTTTGAGGTCACCAAGCTGCCGATTGATGCATTTGCTGCATCTTTAGGTCTTCCCATCACGCCCAAAGTCCGTTTTCTCAACCGAAATGTGAAGGGAAAAAAGACAACTGAAGAGCTGACCCTGGTGCCAGAGAGCAATGCTCACACGAATTCATCTGAACTTTTGAAAGGAAGTTTGGGCCCAGTCGAGCTGGAGAAAGCGGAACTGGATCCGGAGGAGGGCATCCTTCTGGAGAAGGATGCTGAAGTTGTGGAGAAAGAAAATGCTATTGATATCAGTGATAAATTGTAAGTTATCCTTTAATTTTATTTATTTATTTATTTATTTATTTATTTTTCACGATGATCACACGAAGTGGTTAGTAGGATAAGTGAAGGAGTAGTAAATTTCAAAAATTGAAAGGGTGCAAATATTTGATTAGTGTAGGAAAGGATATTTGTTACATGCTAGTTCGTCTTGCATTACATTACCATGGTAGGGTGTATCTAGTAACAGTTCAGATTTTCATCTTGAATCTAGATATGCGATTTGTTGTTTTGATAATCTTTTCTTCATAAATCTGATCGAAATTCAAATCTGCTTGTTAATATTGTAGGCCTGCTACCAGGGTTTTGAAGAAAAAGAAGTTAAAGATAAACATGCATAGACCTGTTGGTACGAGGGTTGTATTTGATGATGAAGGCAACACTTTGCCCCCTCTTGCCAAGCTTGCCGACACCTTGACTGAGTCTGACTCAATTAAGCTGGACAAGGACAAAGGTAATTAATGCTCCTCCTAATATGTTACATTGCTCCTTCAATTTTATTATTAGAAATTGCGAGTGGTGCACTTGATCCGTAATGCACCAGAAGCTAGAAGTTTGGAAGTATTTAAAAAAAAAACTACTATTTTCTGATTTTTGGCCAATAGTCTTCTTTGCTTTCTTGATATTTGTACAATAATGGTAACTTGGTAACTAATCTGTTGCCCGGGAGTTGTGCTAAGTGTGCTTCCGAATTATGCAGTGAGCCAAAGATATGCGGCCTTGAGAGAGGAGATGAAAGTGGTGGACAAGGAAGACAAAGCCTTGGAACAAAAACGCCGGAAAGAAAAACGCATCAAGCAGAAGATGAAGTTGAAAAGGGGCAGGGACGAAGATGATGATGGTGAAGACTATGATGATGATGATGATGATGATGATGTATCTGATTTGGAAAGAGGGCCGAAAACTACTAGCAGTGGACTTAATAAGAAATCGAAGATTTATTTAGGCAGCGAAAGTGATAATGACGATGAAGATGGTAGAACGAGAGGAGCAGCTGCAGCCACACGTGTAGATGAAGTTACGTTGGCTGAGCAAGAGGAATTGGCTCTCAAGTTGTTGAGTTCAATGCATTAGTTTATATGTTTTTTTCAGTCTCTTGTGGTCAAATGATTATGCCAACCAATTTTGTGTCTACAGTTTATTTATTTTCATAACATGCCCTTGTGTACGGTAGAAAGTATGTATTTGACATGAAAATTTTAGTAGCCAAAAGTTGAGGGTCATATGTGATGTGTATCGAATTGCTGTAGCAGGGGCTTCCTTTTTAATATTGGCTTCACTTTTTATTTTATTTTTTTTAAGCAGAGTGTATGAATTCAGTTTGTCATTTTGTCTCTATATCTGTATTTTCAATGTGAAATGAGCTAATATAATAACTTTTGTTTCGGAATTCATACCATCGTATATAATATAATGTGGTGTAGATTAGTATCTCGTTTACGTGTTTTACGAGAGAATATCTCGTTTACTCGTTTTATCCTTCACACTCGTACGCTTTCCTACATCATAATGTCATCACTGATGATGTCCCCAGAGTGAGTTTATGAAGAAATGTTATGCTAAACCCTGCAGGTGGATTAAATTTCGACATAATATGAATGTGATGAACGAGCATTAGCTTCGGTGAAATAATAATAAATTAATTATTGATTGTCAGTGATCTAATTAATTAATGGACATTTTATCTTAAACATGGAGAGATAAATCGAGTAATTATTACTGGAGTCTCAATTATAAATTGGGCTAGAAAAATGGAGTGCAATAATATTAAGTTGGTGACCCATTTAATATTATTTAATTAATTAAAATAAGTTGTTTGGCCCACAAATATTTTAATTAATTAAGGAGCCCTTCTCCTAATCTTTTAAGGGTCAGCTCTATATATATATATATCATTAAGCTCATAGGAAGATAACACATGATTCATAATTCAAGTTATTCACGCCGCCCATCATCTTCTCTCTCAGTTCTCATTCGAGCTTTATCTTCTTCTTGTTGTTCCACCGATACAAGATTAAGAGGTGTTTGAGACATACAGTAGATGATCTGTAGGTAAACCGAGACGAAATATATTTTATCGTATAGAACTAACCGGAGGTCCGATCAAGGCGTGCAACATACCTGACGACCGTCTCGGCGAGAGCTTTCCAACGCCGCCGAGATCGCCGCCATCCGACGCCGCACGCGCCCTCACGCGCCGCCGGAAGCTCCCAAGAAGCAAGCTACGTCTTGATCCGTTTGCAGCCGTTTGATCCGTTTTTCGATCCGATATTGTTCGTGCAACCCTAAGACGCCAGCACTTTGCTTTATCGCAGACTTCACTTCGCTCGTGATTTGCAGTCAACTATTCATTGGTGTGCTGTGTACGACCATCCAAAATATCAGCCAGATCGCCATAAATTTTATGCCGTATGTTTCTTACGCAAACCTTTAGATCCGCTGCGCATATGTTTACGTTTGCTATTGAACTCGTGATTTGTGCATAATGAGATCCTCATAGATCCTAAGAATCGGGAGGCAAACAGATTTTCTGTGATTCAGTTATGCGCGTTCTACAATAATATAGAATTGTCAGTTAAGTTGTTATTTTTTATAATTATTTATTTATTTACTAATAGAAATCTGGTTTCATCTCACGTTCTTATGGTTGGTGATTGTGGTTTCTATTTATAAATTCTTAATAGGCATATGTTTTGAAACTCGTTTTTAATTTGCCATTTTATCATTAATTCTAAAACAATCTTGAAGAATCAACATTTGTGATTAAAACGAGATATTCTTAAAGTGTTATACGTATTTGTTTTATTATTTACCCTTATAAGTTTATCAATATGGCAAGTGGTTTCTAGCACATAATCAATTAATGCTATGTTGAATACAAAGTCGATTTATTCGGCTTACCAGAAATATTTTCGTGGTAAACGTTCGCAACAACGAATGAAGATTTGACTTAGGATGAAAGGACTTTTGACGGCAATTCAGGTGGCTATGCCTGAACCTATTGATAAGGATCCCAAAATAGTTGAAATTGTTCTGTGGAACCAAAAAGATCAAATAGGTCGAGGGGCTATTTTGTCAATATTGCCAAATATGCTCTTTGATGTTTATTGTTCTTAACTGCAAAGTCGTTGTGGGATGAGTTGTACAAAAAATATAATACTAAAGTGCAAGGTCTAAAAAAGTATTATGTTTTTAAGTTTCTAAAATATTAGATGGTTCAAGGAAATTTTGCATCTGAGCAGACATATGAACTGATAACTTGGAACAATCCTTCGTGATGTTGATACGAAAACTTCTAAAAAGTTTTTTGTTATGTCAATTATTTATAAATTTCCAAAGTCTTGGAGAAGTTTTGGAATGTCGTTGAAGCATAAAAAAAGGAATTGGCCTTGGATGATTTAATAATATCAATCAACATAGAAGAACATCGAAAATAAGTTCATAACATGCCATTTGAACATAAGATTAATATGATAACGGGAAAAAAAAATGAACCATGCAAATACAAATATCAAATTAACCAATGAAGACAAGACCAAGGCTAAAAATAAGAATCAAAGCAAACAAACCATGTTGGAACTATGGACATGTTGGACATTAGATAAAATATTGTCCGACAAAAAAAGCTAAGGTCAAACCTGGACCCGCTGAACAACCTGTAGAGAATATGGTTGTTGGGGAACCTAGCAATACTTGCGCTCCAGAGACAACTATTGACGGGTTTGTTTAATTATAACCTGAGCTTTTGAATGCATATGCACTAGTAGAAAAAACACTTTTCACATCGGCTGTTTACATCGGTTTTGACAAAACTGATGTAAAAAATACTTTTCACATCAGATGTTGACATCGGTTTTGCGGGAACCGATGTAAACAATAAAAATGTGACATTCTCGCAACGAAAATTTCATTTGGCACATCGGTTGTGTAACAACCGATGTGAACGATGACACTTATTACATCGGTTCCACATATAACCGATGTCAAAAAATCAAATTAAAGCATCGATTATAGAAGTCGGTTTTAGAACAACCGATGTTCATGTGGCCCAAAAAATCGATGTTAGGACTAAAATCGATGTTAACTGGTGCATTTAGAATACATCGGTTCAAATAAACCGATGTTAATGTGGCCCAAAAAAATAACGGGCTAAAATAATGTGCATCAATTTAATAAAACCGATGTTAGGACGCCCAAATTTGATGTGCCCGCCAAACTTCCAAACATAAATCTTAAACCCAAACAAGTACATCTTTCTTAAAATCGATTGCACTCAAAACCCTTCACCGGTTTCTCCTTCACAGTTTGTCGCTTCCCAAACCCTCCACCGTCGCGCCTTCATAGTTCGTCGAGCCTTCACAGTTCATCGCCGCACTTTCACAGTTCGAGCGTGTTGCCGTCCGTCGACTAGCGCTTGTTGCCCGTTGTCCGTCGATCGCCGCCCATTGTCCATCAAGAGCCGTCTGCCGCTCTTCGGTAAGTCGTTCTTCACAAATCATCTCATCTGAAATTGTCCTCAGGGGACTAAATTGATGATCAGATAGTGTTTGACATGTGATCAGACTGTATGACGGCTATGGGCTAAGTATATATTTTGTATTACAATAAGATTGCAATTGCTGCTATTTAGGTCTCCTCGCTAGCTAGGTTTGTTTGAGAAATAATAACTACTACTTATTAGTTTGTCAAAATATAATTAATGGAATACCACTCAAGCAATTAATATTTGATAGCTACTGTAAGTTTGAGGATTGGATCATCCCAATATTTGATCAGATGTTAGAGGAGCAAAAGTCACTTGTATTCAATCTTATTCAGTATGATATTTCACTTGATCTTTTTATTTGGATAATTAAGTACTTAATTTGGAGGTTTGTTTTTTGCTTTTTGTTGCATTTGTTTTGTGTTTTGGTTTTTCTTAGCCTCTTGCTTTAGTTTATGGTGTTGTGG